AAACTTCCCCATTTTAAAAGACTTACCACGGCTGCTTGAGAAAGAACAAGAATCGTTCATTGCTTTATTAAACAAACCAAGAGTATCGCCAAAACGTTTAATAAAATACAATAAACAAGACATAAAAACCGGACATAGGTTCCAACAAGCACAAAATCGGATTTACATAACATCCGGGTGGGATTAACACCGGTCTCATAGGCACCGGAAACGGAGTATCAGGTACCTGAAACGGCGTCACACAAAACCAGGTACAGGAACTTTATGGACGGGTTTAAAGCACACCACAAACCCGATACGGCCGTAAGAAAAAAAAGCTAAGACTCGTAAAATTTAGTATGAGGGGATGAACTTTGTTGAAATTTCGCACAGATCCGGCATATAAAATCAGCTATATAAAAATTATTTTTTTGCACACTTCCTGCAAATGTGGTTAATTTTTTTATGTTTGGCTAGTGCGGGACTGCATTCCTGTATATTGTCGTTGAGTTACACAAAATCCATTTGCGGAACTGCCCGATATAGTATAGTCCGGTTGGGTTGTTCGTTTTCGGCAATTGCCTATTTTGGTATATAGCCGGTAGGACAAAACCGAAATCGGATGGGACAAAACCAAATTTCGGAGAGCCGAAGGGACAAAACCGGAGTTTGCAACCAACAGGAAAAGAATAAGGTCATATGAATTAAAATAAATACCACTAGGCCCATAGGCTTGTGAGATTCAAAGACCTTTATATTTTATATGCACTTACTTTTGGCGAAAGGTTTCAAGCAACTGAAAGGAGTGCAAGCATTCAGCGTAGGGTAACGACACGCGATGTGGCTCTTAAACGACTTTTTCTTTTTATTCAAAACTCGACGTATATTCTCGATAACTTACATATTTCTATACATAGCAAATAGCGAAAGTCGATATCCTAGACTTCTTAGCACCACCTTAATACTGCAAATCGGACTGATGGAGGAAAATGCACTTACGCACTTGAATATGGGATTATATATAATCTCCATAATGTGTGGGGCTTGAAGCGAACCAACTATACCCACTAAATAGCCCCTCATTTACGACTTGATGCAAGGCTTGCCCCTGATATTCATGAAATGTTTTATTCTGAACCAGGAAAGCTCTGCTTCTGAAGATCGACTTCTATTATCGGTAAATCCCTGAGAATATAAAGGTGTAAGATATGAGTTCATTGTGGGAACATGGCCAAAGATTTGAAGCAGCCAGCTAGTGATGATTATTTCGTTGATTTTCTTCATGAGTTTAGAGACCCCTCCAGATCGACAATAGCAGTGGTTTTCTTCTGTTTGGCCAGCAACTGGCTGCTAAAGAATATTTTCGTTAATCTTGCAACTGTAGTTGCAACGGGTGTTCGACTTCTCTCCGATGACTTGGATTTTGCACAAGTTGCTGTCCCACCTGAACCTTTAGTTGTGTTCTCAAATCGACCACCAAGTAAGTACCTACGCCACTATATGGCAAAGAATGGAAATTTCATTTTTCAATAACAGTAGCCTTGGTCACGTCGCACCAAAATGTGCTTCTCCTAGATGTGACTGTCCTCTTCGTAGAAAGCGAAAGAAGTCAAATACTGATGCGCGTAATTGATATCGTTCCTATTGACTATATTCGGGCTGCAGAACAACTATTCCTCAATTTCGAGTATTGCAAACCCATCCCTCACAAGCATTGATTCCTCAGACAAATCACGAATTGTACTCACCCACTGCCCCATAAGCCGATGACACTGCCCAAGAACAATCACCTTCCACTCATAATTCGACAGCTCCATCTGTTCTTCCTGCTCTTGATCACGATCCATAGATGGATATAATACCCCTTCACTATGATCCAAGTCATTACTTTGTTCAGTCTGAATATCACCGTGTTGAATCTAGCATTCATACCGAAATATTTACTGGTAAAATTGATTTTTTAGATATGGATAGGTCTCTTTCCAAGGAGGAATAAAATATATTGATTCTTAGTGTTTCTAAACATTCGGGTTACTCTGATTCAACCCAATCACGATAGCGGTACTTCAGGTCACATATGCTACATCAAGTCACCACTTCACATCTCCCCCTACAGTTGCTAGCAGTTCTTTGTAGAGCCAAACGATGCTGGAGTAGCAGTTCTTGGTAATGGATAGATGATCTTTGAAATTGCAAAGGTTATCATCACACTCGACCATGTGCATTATTGAACCCAAATTTGGAAGACTCTTGTCTAGCCGAATATTGCTGTAGCCTTTGGTTGTAACTTAGTTGGCTTTCATTGACGTGTACTTACTGAAGAAAATAAATGAAATTTCAAGCCGTAATCCACTTGAGCTCAACATTCCTAATCTTGTGTCTACACATTCCAGCTATATTCAAGTATAGGATTCCGTCCCGCACTTCCCTCCGTCTGCCGTTGCTCACACATCAGTTGATTCTCTTGTCCTGCTATGTCGTTACTAATATAAGGATCATGCAATGGCTGGGACAACAACATTGACAACGAAATCCATCCACCTTTAGATAAGTACTATAGATAGGTGCTAATTCGTTGTTGTTAGTGAAAAATACTGGCAATAAATTCCCAAAGATTGTTGAAGAAGTTAGGGGCCAGGAAAATTGCCATTTATTCAGATATGATGGGATAGTGAATTATTGGATGATTGGGTTGGGGTTGGATATCCATTTCGAAGATTGGTTGTTGAGAAGTTTTACCAGAAATATTGGGTGCAATACTTCACTAGTAAGCATCAAGAACGGAAAGCTTGAAGTAATTCTTAACGGTAGCATGCAAAAATCTAGCACATGTATGACGGGGTTGGAAAAGTGATCCAGTAGTATTTTAGTCCTTGAAAATATCAGTAAAATGGAACCATAAGGAAGGGAGTCTAAACGGCGGAATTCTTTCGGGTATTTACAGGTGTGGTGAATTTGGCACGTTTTGGCAGACGCGTTCAACAATGGATTGATAAACTCCTGGAGGGAAATCCCAAGCAAACGAACCACTCTTTAAATCTGTAGAGGTTGGTGAAGTTGAAGAATCGTGGATGGAAAAGGTTTCACGGTCCGTCCAGCCTTTATTTTGCAGAGATGGTAGCAAAGCTTGATACAATCCCAAAGGATCGAAACGGTGGAAGAGTCGCTGTCGTCCCAAAGAACAAAGGAAATTGTTATGGCACAGAAGAGTCAAACCGTACAAATGGTATATTGTCTCGAGTGAGGGAGTTGAAGATACAGTAGTCCCAAGATAAAATGACAATGGCACATTGGGTGCAACTAAAAGGAACAAATGCCATAAAGTTGAGGTAACGGCAAAAGAGATAGATACACCTTGAAACAGCGCCTGAAACTATGTATCCCATTGGTGGTTTGGGTGGAAGGAAGCAGCTATGTAGTCTGAAGGAGGAATAAGTAGATCATGACGTTGACGGAGGCGGGGAGTAAAGTTGCGACAAGGAAAAGTGGTAGTTAGATATGGGTATTTAATGTTGAGCCCAAGCGTCAACAGCGTATTTAATGGTTAAATGGGCGTTGTGGGCCAAAGCGAGGAAGCTGGGAGGTAGTTAGACCAGAAAGAAATTTTGAAAATCTGCAGCGGAACATTGGAGCAATTATTAGATAATCTTGTCTTATTCTTAGATAATAAGTAATGTATTGAATAAAACAACTATAAAAGTAACAAAATAGATAAAGCAAGTCAAACCCTGGAGTAGGGGGGGGAGGAAAGGGGGCAGTCGGGCGACGTGAAAGAGCAGTCCTTAATATTGAGACGCTGCCTCCGTCGTCTCCACCTGAGGCCCTGCCCGCCCCCTGATAACATCAACTGATAACATCAACAGTGAGACTTTTCTGATAACAACAACTCCTAAGAAAGATATCGGAGCAATGTGACATTGGGTCACGTCACAGCAAAGGTTTGAAAGATACACAACATTGCGAGTGCGGAAACAGGGAATTGGTATTTCAATGGGATAAACAGTTTGACGGCTGGTTTCAATGAGAACCTTCAGCACCCATTCAGGAAGTAGGTATTGGGCTCTCTGGATAACAGGGGCAACCGAGGTTTTAAATAATTGGATATAGGGCATAAGGGGGTTTCTAGAAGGACCAAATGATCTGAGGAATATCCACCAGAAGAAGCATAGTTAGTGGGTATAAAGTATACTTGTAAGAAGCGCAGCATGCATTCATTGGTATTGCTGTTTCCAAAATGGGGCGACCGCCCTGTGATATAATCCTTAATCCTGAAGTGTGCAGTTGTTAGTTAGTCTAGTCAACAACTTCAAGTTGACTAAATTCCTGTCCAACGAGTCTTGCCTTGTAACGACCATCATCTCTTCTGGCCACCTGCAACACATAACTCTAGCATTCTCAGGAAGTTCAGTTAAAGTCCATGTTTAATTTTATTCATGAGCTATAAGGTAATACCTACACAGGGTATGATGGCGCTGTCTATTGCATAGCTATTATCTACTCTCGGCCATATTCAAATAAAATGGCTTATACAAGTTGGCGTTCACTCCTTAATTTTTTTTACAAATGTTACCTATAAATTATATCATATTCCTTGGCTGCTAGCCCAGGGCTCAACTATAAATATGCCTTTAAATTTCTCTAGATTCTCTATATGTACTTCCATGAACAATGCTTGCTCCAGATATAAAAAGATTCGCTTAAACTTCTTGAAGTTTTAGCTGCAACGATTTGTAAGTCAACTCATCAGACAGGCATAACAACTGCATTCTTGAAAGTATCGCTTGATAATAGTTTGGTATATAAGTACAGCAAACCACTGTATGGATTGAGGCAGCTATCTTTCTGTAGGAAGATCACAATGGTTTAACTTTTGCTTGAAGAATGAGAGTTTAATCTGGGTTCTTGCTTTGCAGAAGTAAGATATAAGAAGATATCATTTATAACAACTTAGGCTAAGCTTGTGGTCGAAACAGACGAGAACCACCATATTTATGAAGAATAGTTTTCCTGATACCTTGTCCGATGACAGCTTCCATGCGCAAGGTCATGAATTAGATTTTGGAATAAAAGAATACTTGAATGTAGATGATCCGCAATTTTGAATTGCTCCATTTGCTCAATGGGTTCCAGTTGATGACGTATTTCTTGTGAATATCCTTTGAATATGGTCATAGGTGCTTGAATCATTTTTGAAGTTTACAGCGTCGCATCTATTTCGATCTCAAAATTTCGATAATATTTTCCTGGAATTATTACCAAAAATTGCACAACTGATGGATAAAAATGCAAAGTTCTGGAACCGTTGCAGAGTGAAACAAGGTACGCTGTATGAAAAGTTACAGGACAAAATGTAAGGTACTCACAAACCCAAGAATCTCATCATTTCAATTGGCACGAGCTTGGCAGTGAGTCCTTCTGCATGTCAATTGCTGTCGAAGCTATAGTGTTTCTTGACAATGGCTTATTACGTCAACCATGTTCTCTCCCACGGCATAGAAAATACCGGTATTTTGAATCACATCACGTAAGAAATTTCTGAAGACTATTTTAAATCGAATATCGACTTCCAAATTGTAGCTTGATAGTCGGCGAACCAATCGGTTTATTAGAGCCAATGGAGAATACGTTCCCCGTGAGACAAGAATACCAGGATGATTTTGAAAACTTGAGCTTCCGAACGGCAAAGATTATTTAAAACGTAACTATCTTATGTGCTACTAATGTTAGTCTGTTCTTCTAATGAAATCTAATCAGCGATCAACAGTCTGATTCTTGTATGCCCCACGACTTCACTTAGTAGAGCGCAATCGGCGTTTTTCTAAACCAATTCTAGACCTATTATTATTATTTGGGCATCAATCTGTTTTGCAATTCTACATGTTGTCCTTTCCTGGTAATATTCATACAATACATTTATATAGTGTCACTATTACATAGGGAAGAGATAATATTACTTGACACCCTACGCGGCATCGTGTATTCTAACCGGCGTGGCTGAATAGTGCACGTATGGTACTCATGAAAGGCACCAGCCATTCCTCCTAAGGCACCTAATCTGTAAGAGTTCAGAATCCATATAAATATCCCTGAATACCACATAATTCGGCAACCGTATAATTGAATATGGTAAGGCTTGCACTATAGCTTGATTTCAGATAGGTCGATCGGTCGAGAGTTTAACTATTCGTTTTCCATTTTTGGTTTATTTTGAACTCGTGGGCGAGGTAACCAGTCTTTTCTAGACTGAGACTTTTTGGCGGTTGGTGGTTTATGCCCTGCTGAGCTCTTGTCGTGAGTCGATTCTGCTTCTTTATGAGAACTCTTTCTAAGGGTTTTTGCTTCCTTCTGACTCCCTTCTTTTTGATCTATCGGCTTTACTGTAGGTTTGCTATCCCTTTCCGGTGGCTCTTTCAGAGAAGCAGACTTACTCTCTCTGGATTTTCCTCCCTTGTTTCGCTCGCTATCTTTTCGTCTACTTGAACGAGTTGGCTTGTTTCGAGTTTCATTCTTCAAGGAGACTTCACCCTCCGGTATCGATTTAGATAGTTTGTTATCGATTTCTTTCTCGGCGGTTGGTGGAGGTTTTTTGGTATCCTTAGCGACCGCAGGTTCCTTGTTAACTTGGGCTCTATTCCCGTCGGGCTTCCTGGCTGATAAATCCTCAGCAGGCTTAGGCTTCTTGGATTTGTCTCTACGCTGACGAGCCTTTTTATGCTTAACTAGCTCAGGGCCACCCTTGGACGTATTTTTTTCTGGCTGCTCCCTAGCTTGAGGCTCATAATTTACCTTCTCAATTTGAATCTTATGCTTCTCTTGAACGTCTTTCTTTGCCACCACCCCTTGGACTGCTTCTGGACCTTTCTTAGACTTTGGTTTGGGCCCTTTTTCTATTTGCTTCTTTTTAGATTTCTCTGCTCTCTTTTCGTTCTCATCAGGGGGGACCTTCTTCTTTATAGACTTGCTCAATTTCATTAAATCAAATTCGTCAAGTTCATGTTTTAAATAAGCTAAGAATTTCAAATAAATATCATTATTCTCAATTCCTCCTTTAACGCCTTTAGTCGTAACACTAGAAGGTCTACCCTTTTTGGAATCAATCATTTTATGGTATATTGATTTCTCTATTATCGGTATCATCAAGTCATTTGTTTCATCGAAGAACGATTTACCTCTTAAAAGGTTTTGGAACTCATTCACATCATTTTCACTATTAAAGCTAATGTATGCCCGTGAATAAACCGGAATTTCAAACGGCTTCAACGGATATGAGCCTCTAATGTAATAAGAATGCGCAATCTTTGTTGCATGATGTGGATAATATGTCGCTAGCTGATTCAAAAATTCACTTTCAGTAAGAGAAGGTGGAAGCAAGCGAATAGTTAACTTTAAATTAATGTTCCGTTTAATATTGGACGACGCGCTAGATGGCTTTCCAGAAGATGTCTCAAATGGATGCTTCCGGCCCTTTGGGGGATTTCTTCGTGGTGTTATTGATGCCATGATTGTTGTTCCAGAAGAAGTGATGGAACATTCTCGGAATTTTTTTTCGACTAAAATATTCCTTCTTTTCATCGTTTTTTTCCCTTGGCTTGGGGGTGAAAATTTACTGATTTGGAGAAAGCTATTACAATACAGTCTAAGTACAGATAATTACAATTGCAATGGCCATGAACGTTATTAACAGTTTCTTAGAAGAAATCAACCAAACGCTGTCGCTACAATCCGATCAGAAAATTTCTCAGCTTACAAGGGTATTGTCCATTATTCCAAGTAACAATGCCTATATATCCAAAATAAACACAACTACAAACGGTATTGAGTTCAAGGCTATAGCTACAGTATACGACGATGATTGGCCGGCATTTAATAATGTTGTTTGTAGTTTTCTTAAATTATGTGACGAGATAGATCCTTTGTCATTGCTTAAATCGTTTGATCTATACACGGCTTACTTAAATGATTTATCCATCGCATTCAACAATAACAAGTATGGATGGTTGTTGTCTAATATAGTTAGAGAATCTAGCGACCTAATTATACAATGGGCTGTCAAGCTAGATTTGCAATTGTATTATCACGAACAGGGGGGAAGGTACAGGTTAAATTATTTGGCGTCAGTTCTATTGAAAATGTTTAACCACATCCGCTCACAAATTAATGATATTAATAGTTATAAAAGGTCGCTAATATTATACCTTGGGAATAAGTTGTGTCTAATTTATTTTAAAATTGACAATCCGTTGTTGTGCAGAAACATTTTCAGCAACATGAACAACACTAACTTGCATCTATCTGATTTTACTTTAATGGAACAGCTACAATACCGCTATTATCTCAGCAAATTCTACTTAATTAAATATCAATTACTAGATAGCTTTTTCCACTTGTCGTGGTGTTTAACTAACTCTCTTGCTAAGAGTACCAAAAATACAAACATGATTTTGGAGTTGTTGATACCGATTAGCTTGGCATTAGGTAAAATACCCAATTTCAAGTATATTAGGCAAATCTGTAATGAAACCTGGTTAAATTTTTATGACGTTTTATCCCAGCAAATCAAGTCGGGAGATGTCTCGCTGTTTGATGAAGCAATAGAGCAGAATTATCAATACTTGAAAGATAAGAATGTTCTTCTATTAATGAATAAAGTGCGACTAGTAATTACAAGGAATCTAGTTAAGAATATATGGAAGATATTAGGTAAACCGAACAATTTAGATTATGATAGCATCAAAGCAGCTGTGAGAAGGATTGATGATGATTATTTGGTGGAGAATATTCTCATTTCATTAATTGATCAGAATTTGCTCAAGGGAAAGATTTTTACTAGACTAAGAAAAGTGGCATTGAGTAAGAATGATCCATTCCCCCCAGTCTATGATATATATAATTTAAAATTCCCGAGTAAAAAGGGCGTGGAATGGATGTGAATTGTTGATAAGTGAGAGATTCATTGCCACGGTTTCGCTTTTGAATTCCAAAAGATGTGTCTTTTATTGCTGACTATTAGAGAACCGAATAATGCGAATAGTAGGGATACTGGATGTAATTTGTCTGATTCATATTATACGGTCTGGGGAATAATATCTCACACCTATGCATTATTTCTTTATATAGTTTAGTACCATAAAATGGAGGTAATAGATAAATTTATTTGTAGCCAGTAGCAAGAAATGATCTTATGAAGCCACATAAGTATCCAAGGTTCAGGTAGGACTGACTGCGGAGGTAAACGAAACCATAATCATTTTCAATTTCAAGAGCATACTTAATTTTTCTTCAGATTAGTTGCCAAATTTGGCAGAAAATTACCACCATTAAATTAGATAAAGATTACAAAGAGAACACTTATCAACCTGGAGCCTCTTCCTTCATACTGACTTTTTGGAACATTTCCAAGCAATGGTCATTAGAGATTTCGTATTAAGGTTATTATAACCATGCGCATGGCGCAAGTTCTTGGTACAACATATAAACACGCCAGGCTACTATCAAAATGAAGTTGTCTAGACTTTCATTATACTACACTAATCCACATGCTATAGAAGAATGCCTACCGTACTGGCCCTGATGCCCATATTTTCAATACATAGCGAGAAAGCATCGAGACAAATACCGTAAGGCAATTTCTCCTCACATGAAATAATCTATACACCTCTCCAATCCAATTCTTCTAATCTTCTCCGGCCAACATGTCTTCGCTTTGCCCCACTATAATCGTCATAATCTCGCTTCATGTTTTCTCTTTTCAATCTTCTTAAATTTCTTATTCTTTCGTTTTCTCTACGTTCAATTTCTGATGATGTCAAAGTTTCAACTAAAGGCTCCCAGTGATCGTTTCCATTTTGAACGCTTGTTTCTGTAAAAACCCGGATTCCATTCTCAAAAATAATACCTCTCACGAGATGCAAGTTATGTATTTCGTTATTAAAAGTACCGTCAATTATTTCTTTCTTAGCTCTGAGAATGATTTCATGAAGTGCATGAGAAATAGCTGGTTTGAATTCTAGGGATAATCCTAAATCAGAAACTATAATCAGAGCAAATTCCTCTGGAGTAATCTCTTTTTGATTCAAATCCCATTCAAATCGATCTTGAAATAATTGTTTGTTCAAGTTCACCGAAAGATCGATAATAACATTGCATGGGTTATTGTTTGGTAATTGCAAGTTTGAAGCATAACTATACTCCTCAATTTGCTGTATTATCGACTCTGCGATTTGCAGAGACATCGTGCTTGGTAATTCCAAGTCACCACAAAGTATTTCTGCAAATTCGGATGGTGTCACAAGGGACTCAGTAAGATTCCACATGAAAAAGTCTGCTAATTTATGAGTTGAATTCGAGTTTTCTAACGATAACTTTATAGGAACCAAAACATCGGATTTACTTCCCAAATCCGTGATTTTTTGTTCATCTTCGAAAGATTTTATGACTGGAGTTTTCCTTGCTGCAGAGTATTTCTGAGCGCTAGTGGTCGATTGAGTACCAGCGTTCCCTTTAGTACCAAATGTAGATGTTGGTGAATCTTCAAAATCAAAGTCATCAGTATAATCTTCTGAATAGTTTATTTGTTGAGCAATTCTTTTGGCTTGTCGTCCTGTAGGTGCTATGTTTAGCAATAGCGAATTATCTCTTTCATCAAGCAATCTCTTCGAAATACTGGAAGCTAGTGCCTGCACATAGAATGAGGAGCTATCATATGATAATGTGGTCATTGATACGATCTGAGGTGTGAATAAACAAGTGTGGAAATCAAATTGATGTTTTTTTTTTTTCAATTTCTGTTATTTTTCGCTTCTAAAAATTGACACCTTACACGACCAACATTACCAAGCTAAGAACAAATGAATCGGTCAAAAACAAACTGTGCAAAGAGAAGCTCAAGTCACTATAGCGAAACTAGAAACGTGCTCTAAACACAATGGAATCTTCTAAAATTTTAGCTGATTATTTGAATTCTCTGATGAGGATCCAATTCAACGTCTCCCTAGAGAGTTTTGCGAGAGAGTTTCCACGTGGAACTCTGTCAGAATTGATAGAAGCCATATACAATGCGTTGGTTTCCCAGCAAGAGTCAAGGCAAATTGCATTGGTGCAGAAAAACATACAAGCAGAGTTCGAATTTCCAATGCAGGACATATTCGACGCAGCACTGCAAGAGGTCAATCCAAGGGAGTTAGGGACATTAACCGACACCTTAACGAGCTTAGGTTCTAAATTGAGGTCTCAAGAGAAGGTTTTGGATATGGATATCCTGAATAAGCTCACTGAAATCAATAAACTTGCAGAGAAGATTGGTGAAAGTACATATAGTGAACGAGACCAGAGTGATCGACAAACTATAACGGACTCTATTAATGGCATAGATAAACTATCTACTTTGCTCGAAGGAGGAGCCCATAGTTAGTAATGTATTATGGCACTTGAGGCCGCATTTAGGTCATTTAACCTTTGCAATTCTTTGTTTCCAACCCATTTCCAGATTTGGAATTTCCAGTTTAATCCATCCCTGTCTCCAAGCTGATAATTCGATTCCAACCCCCCACTTGGAGAACTAGTAAGATAAACAATTCGTGCTATCCTCGAGTGAACTAGTGCCATACAACACATTACACACGGCTCATGCGTAGTATAGACAATCATATTGTGACAGAGGTAACCTGATTTTTCGCCTTGGCAATCGCCAGATTGTCGTTTATTAAGTTCAAGCCTAGCAACACAATCTATAGCCATCATTACGCCATGCTTCGAAGGATCAGACCATCCCCTATTAAGACAAGTCACCACAGGTTGAATAATACCACCAGATTCCTTCGCAATCAAAGTTACCAGGTTTTTTTCCCACAGATAGTCTTCACCCATGTCCCGAGCCTTTTCAAGTTCTTGAAGAAGAGTGGCAATGATTGTACTTTCTTGATGCATGTTAAATTCAATGGAATTAAGAAATTGGTGATTGGGATTACCCTTCCATGCCATTGGCCAATATTGTGACGACCACTTTTGAGCAATTTCTTTCGTTTTAGGAGGATAAAGGGGAACCTTAGTAAGATCACAATCCACAATTTCCAAGTCTATCGTAGAGTTATTTTTTAGCACTTTTAATAAGGTATCTCTATCATTTATATAATCAAATGAACAAAGTATCGCTCGTATATGCTTTCCGACTTTCTTAAAGCGCTTCACATGAGTTAGCCCGACGCAGTCTCCATCCGTTAAATAATCTCTGATTATACTGACTATGATTTGAGTTTTAGCCGGTGGGATGTCACAATACCATACATTGACTAGCGACGGCACTTCGCTGTAGTTAGCTTCATTTGTTCTTATTTGCTTAAGTGTTCCATATATTATACCTCGTTCAAGATCAACATCCTTAACCATCTTCAATGATACATAGAACCAATAGCTTATAAATTAAATTTTTGAGATGAATTTTTTTTATTGAGAAATTCCTCCTCATTCAGATGGACCCCAATGGAAAGATCCTTACATGAATACATTACAGCCGATTGCGTTAGCTTATCACCGGTCCTTCCAAGTTTCTTATCCTTCCTAAATAATATCAGATTATTCAGAAACCACCATGTACGCGATTTACCTCGTCTCCCGAAGTTTAACAACTATTTTGAATTTATGGAGTGCTTGATAATTTACCTATTGTCGGAAAAATCATCCAATATTCTTGTTCATGGATACAAGGATCCAAGTCTAGATAACAGATTCAATTCAAGGACGACAAACTCGTCTTCTAATTTTCATGTTACCTATCTCAGAGAATCTAATTGGCAGAAAGTCTTTGTGAAGATTGGGGCAGAGAAGTTTTTGGACTTAGTGCTTAACAACAAAGGATTTCTTTTGCTAGATAATGGGAATTCTGTACAATTATTCGGCGATCCAATCCCCTTTAGGCATTTGTCTGCGCCACCGGGAGTGCTAAACAAAAACAGCGTATTGCATAGATCAAAAACTTCAGCTAGCTCTAGAAACTCATTGGTCCCACAGGATGTCGATGCATTATATCTGGAGGTATTTTCAAGTTGTGAATGTCAGAACAAGAAGCTGCTAAAAAGAATGCATAGAGCTCGACGAATGCTAAAGTTGCTAATATCAAATGAGAGAAAATGTCGATATGATTTAATATACTGGAAGTACCTCGGGGCCCAAAAACCAAACTATCACCATTTGCCTGACAACTCTACGCCAGTGTCAATAGTTATTCAAGTTGTTTTTAGCATTCTCCAAAAACTACTACCTTCTGAGGCTTGGGGCGGTAGTTTAAACAGGGGAATTTTAAGGAGAGCTATTATCCAGTATATTCAGTTGCAGAAAATGGATCGAGCTTGGCTTGATGATTTGACTTCTGGAATAAAACTAAAAGAGATCGGATGGCTTGGAGAGAGACAATTTACTTCACAGCAAGATCTTCAGAAAAGAAAGCTAGCATTAAACGCGTTTCTTTATTGGTTGTTAGATAAGCTTATTCCTAGGATCCTTAGGACATATTGGTATGTCACAGAATGTTCGAATACCATAGAAACTAACATGCTATACTTCACTCACGAGATATGGAATCAAATATCTAGGAAATGGTTGGGTCATTATATCAAGTCGAATCTTATAAAGTTAGAGTTAACCGAAGCCGAAACGGCTGCTATACAATTGAATTTTGGCTTTATGCGACTTATTCCCAAACTTTCAGATTTTAGGGTGATCTGTATTCCATCCAGAATACATATTTCTTCGCTCCTAGATCCAAATTCTCATTCAAAAGAAGGGCAAGATTACGAATTTAGACGGTATAATAGTGATGTATTACTTCCCGTTGGGCAGATTTTGCGCTCGAAGTTGAAACTTCGAAACAGCCATACAGGCTTTTTTAACCGTCCTATGCGTTCCAATGCAGATGTTGCTCAGTGCATTGTTGAGTTTCGTAAAGAACTTGCCGACATAAATGATGGAGTGTTGCCAAAGTTGTATGTTTTTAAATTTGACATGATGCAATGTTATGATCGATTAGATCAGACGAAGATAATGGAAGAGATTAACAAACTTTTTGCTGATGAGGATGACAATTCACCATACTACTTCCGTCAATATTGCGAGCTAGATTCGTCGCATGAAAAGTGGAAAAAGGCTTGGAAAATCATCCAGAACAATGCAAGAGATTTCAGTATAGCGCAACACTCTCTCAAAGGCGGGGCTAGGACATCATATTTTGATAAAGTCAAAACTTTGAAGCTACATAAGAAAGATATTCTTGAAGTCTGCTACAAACAAGTCTTTGAAACGAAAGTTCTTATGAAAAATAGCAAAGGAAATTATGAGATTTTTAAAAGAAAGCGAGGTGTGTTTCAGGGCCTTTCGCTACTGGGAACATTTTGTGATATCGTCTATTCCACTATGGTGAATGAGAGGTTCCAGTTTCTAGAGTCGGCATCTCCAAATTTATTTATACGATTAGCTGATGATTTTTTGTTCGTCTCCAGCAGCTTTGATGATTGTAAAAGGGTACAAACCATAGTCAATAGTAACGATCTCCACGCATACGGGGCATATGTGAATATGCAGAAAACAACATTTATTGTACCAGATAAAGAGAAAACTGTGAAATTCGTCGGCTTGGAGATATTTATTCCCAGGTTGGAAATCCGAAAAGATTACGACCGAACTGATTTAATAACGTCGAAATACCGTTCTTTCAAGTCGCTACTAAAATACCTCAAGAGTTGCCTTCAAAACCGATTGCATTCATTCTTGATCAATCTCTCTTTTGGAGAAATATTCCCAGTAAGGGATAATATTGCAAAGCTTTTAAGCTTGATTCTCAATACATTCTTGAAAGGATACAGAAGAACACTTCAAACTGATAGATTCGATCAAATTAAATTTATTCACTTTCTAAATGATTTGAGGGATTTTACAGTATGCAGATACCTACTGGTCAACGAGTCTCCCGAAAAGGTTGAAGACGTTTTGACAGTAATTAATCTCGAAATCATCAAGTGTTTCCGAGATAGGGAAGAGTTTGAGTTTGTATTACAAACTACAATTTAACTTGATAGAGATTGCACACTGAACCAACTACTAGAAATACGATGCTATATAAGAAGAATTAAATAACACCAAAAGAGCTTTTAAGATTCTCTTGATCTTTCTCCATTCTTTGCCTCTCAACCTCCATTATACCGCCAGACTTCTTAAGCTTATTATCCTCCACGAAATCTCCCAACTCTTCTTGAAATTGACTAACATTCATCATTTGCCTTTCCTTTTCCCTTATCTTTTCAGCTCGCTCAATTGCTTCCAATCTCCTCTCATGATCTGGTTGAAGCGCTGCAACCTGATTCAATACAGCACCCTTCAAATCATGCAAGCTTTCACCAGGTTCAGGAATATGCAAGTTCGCAATCACCTTGTTCCTTTTCGAGCTTGCATTTTTATTTTGCTCGGAGGAACATTGATCTATCAAGGTAAAAGTCTCCTCAATCTTTTTGATGTCCTCTTCCAAGTCTCTAGTCAAATCGTCCTGCAAATTAAAGAACTGCTGTTCCTCACAAACCTTATCCAACTCGGCTTCCCAAATCTTTTTCCAAACAGCTTTCTCTTTCTCGATATAACTAGCCATATTCTCGCGAGCCAATTTCACGGCTTCTATTTCTTTAGAAGTATGTTTTAGTTGCTTCTCTCCAACCCTTACGCCTCTTTGGGCGACATCTTTTCTCAATTCTTCCATGATATCCTGCAAATCATCTACCTTCGTAAGTAAAAGATCGGAGTCTTCAGATAACTTGGAGTGACATGATTCCATATATGCTCTGTTAGAATCCTTTGAAATGTCAAGGCCACGTTCTTGAAAGTTAACGAGCTGAGCCCCCATCTCCTGTATGACTTCTTTAATATTAGCGTGAAATATGGTATGAGATTGGCGAATTGCTCTCAAATCTTTGTCAATACTCTGTAGGTCCTTAATGCCACTTGAAGATTTGGGTCTAAGATTGGCTCCAACTACGTTTGTAGGTGAACTCATTGAACTAGTTGTTCGCATTGCAGATATGGATTCCTTCATTTCTGAAACAACTTCCACAGAAATCAGGTCAATTCTCTTAGACAATTGTTCAATTTTCAAAACAAGATCATTTGTCAGCTTTGATTCGGAGCTTGGCTCATTCAAACACAAGAGTGTGCCAGACTTTAGATCTTCTAACATATATTCTTCAAGTTCATATGTCACTCCACTATTAGGATCTTGAATATAAACATCGGGAAAGGAGGTGCTTCCTGGAGAATATGCAAACTTCTCAACAAATAGAAGCCTTATTGCAGGTAGAGAAATTGGGAATTTAACATTGGCTCTTCTTGTTTTATTATTCAACTTTAAAAAGATGCATGATTCTCCACTTGGTTTTGATCCTATGCTGTTAGATAAATCTTTATTATCCTGATTTGTTTTAGAAAGGAAGCTTTGCCTAACTGTAGAAGTTTCAGAATCAATACGCGGTAAGGCGTTGTTCATAACTGAAGAATTGGTAAGCTTTGCATATTGGTAAGCACTAAATCTCTTGGATGCACGTCGTTGAAGAGCGTCACCTTTTTGAAGTTGGGATAATGCGTCATTTCGTGGGGTTTTGCTCTCCATTGAATCTTTTGCTTCTGTTGACAAAATCCTTGTCACTTTTGGAGACTCCTTCATTTTATTTGATGCCAGTTCCGACATTTGAATTTCCTGTGACATTGCCTTTGCTTTCGCCTGCTTAGCTTTCAAGTTCTGTAATAACGTGACTATAATATTTCTTATGTTCGGCAAAAATCGATCTAGATTCTCTTGGGAAGGTTCTTCGCTCAATGCAGCCTCCAAAATAATTCTCAAAGCTTGAGGAACATCGCCGATGTCAGATATATCAATGCCACTATTATTGAATGCTCTGACAGCTGCTCTAAAGTCATTACCCAATTTAACGTATGCATCAGACACATACTTATCATCAGCTTCCTGTCTTGCCCATTGTGTTAAACTTTCAAGTAAATGTTTGGTAGAAACAAGCAATCTTGTGACACTTGAATCTATAGTATTCAATGACAGCCTCTTTATACTACCACCACTACTCTCAGACTCTCTCCGTTGACTATTGAATACCATTATTATGAGCTGATAACGATGAGTATTATGATGATGATGTTGAAGTTTTGTGGTTGTAAACAAAGAGAAATTGAAGTCATATGGAAATAAATAAACAGTTTTTTTTTCTGTTGGTTTTTATTGTAACCGAGATCGCTACCAATTGATGGTAATAAGTAGATTTCTAATGATTGAAAATAAATTGTAACAGAAACCACCCACTATTAATCATAAGGAGCAATTATGGAAGCACTTACTACATTGTGAGCATTTGTCATAATGTAGGTTTTAATATCAAAGGTTTTGCTGTTTCTCCAAGAACCAATAGATCGGCTTCGGGACATATTTTCATAAAAAGAGTAAATTTTCATTTAGTTTTATTGAAATCTACATGTATTATGACATATATGATGATATAATCCAATGGATATAGATTCCATTGATTAAACGTAGTAGGAGGGTCTGCTCGCGGTGACTTCAAGGTGAATAGTAAGTGATTTTCACGTGCATTATATCACATGATTTTCACGTGAGACGCCGCGATCGCCCAATTCGTTAAGACTTTTCACGGCACTTTGCGACAATTTGGCGCAGTTAGTTAGACCTTTGATAGTTATATTGTCTCATTTTTTTTGAAATATTAAGATCTATTGTTCGACCCATGACGTAGAAATTTAGATTTATTATATTAAATACCTTGAAAAGTGAACCAAGATTAAATCATTCCAAAGTTACATTAAAGTTAAGTGTATGTCTGTCTGATATTCTTGAGTTTGATATTGTTTTATTTTAAATAAAAATGAAATCTTGGGCCAATTTTTTGGCAACAATGGGTATTACACTTCCACAGGAGTGTGTATAAAGAAATAAAAGACAGGAGGAAAGGAAGGTGTGAAGAGTATGACTTCAGTATGAAATTTTTTGCTACATTGCAAATAGTTGTGCTGCAATACTTTTCCAAGAGATAAATATTTAAATTTTCATATTCAGATACCCTGCATTTCTACAGGAAGATGTATTTCCCAATCTGGATCAGTCCAACTAAGTATTGATATGATATAGGCACTTAGAGTCCACTCTGATAAGTGAAATATCAAAACAAGTAGCCAAATAGAAGAACAAGCGAACCTTTCTCTGGACTCACAAGATATTTCACTCACTGTCGCTACCCCCCATTCTTGCTAATAAAACTGATTGTGAATTTAAAAAGACTAAAGAAAACGATCGTAATATGACTGAATACATGTATATATATAAAAGGTAAAAGTGGCTTCACGCTAACTAAAATATTTTTGAACAATATCAAGATCTGAATGATTCTTTTGTAAAAGAGCAATCGCTTCACTATGAGGAATTGAACCTAATAACAGTCTTGTTGAACCAACTATCCTTTCAACTATCTCACCACCTATTGATGCATGCGCCAAGGCTTGAATTACCGAATCAACCACTTTTGGAATTTGATTCCTAATAGCGGGGTGTTGATTATCAATTAATTCGCTTAAAAAAATGTAAGCATATGGAGCAGCCGTCTCATCCTGTACAATTGGAAGTAATGTAATCCATTGTTCAATTATCGCATTTAAATTTGGTATTGATGAGGAGAAGACACGGCACACTTTGGCAACAGAAGACACCGAATTCTCAGTAGCATGGATGTTTTCATCAGCTCTTGCATCAGGAACCGAAGCCATCTTGAACATAGGTTCCAAACATTTCAAACAAAACTCGCGGTAATTGTCTCCCCCATATTCAGCAGCGACACCAACGGCATATGAGCTGGCTTGACGGATCCCCGCGTGTGATGAAGTAATCGACTCTGATACAACATTGATAAACATATCCTTGTAGATCACCGAACTTGGCCCACAGTGTTCCAAGATGTCACAGACTACACACAAGCCACAAAGTTTAACATTAGTGTTTTCATCGTTGATAAAAGTAGCTATGGTTGGTGCTAAAAGTTGAAAGGCTGGAAGGAAGTTGGATTTTGTATTCTTAAAAATTGATGATATAGCTTTGTTAATTTCATCTAGTAACTCTTCATCGGTGTATTCTTCCTCATCCTCTTCCACATCTTCTGTGTATTCATCATCTTCTGTGTCACGAGCTTTGATTCTCTCGTAAATCTCCACAAGGTTAGAATTAATTGATTTGGCCAAGGAATCCAATTGCATCGACGAAAGCGAATTGGGGCTCAATACACTAATACACTCAACCAAAGAAGTATAATATGCGACAAGTAATTCCGGAACCGGTTCACTTGTCAAGACTTCAATCAACTTTTCGGAAGTTTTGGACCAAAACATCAAAGTGTCTGGAGAATTGTTCCCAGTGGCTGCAACAGAACATTTGAGCAAAGATGCGAGAGTTAATGCAGCAGAACCACGGACACCGTCATGAAGATAGAAATCTAATCCAGGAATGGCAATTTCTTCTACAATTTCTTTAACCCATGGGAAAAAGTCACCCTTCAATTGAATTGCGTAAGTTCTTAACAAATCAATAGCAGCAACCTTATCATCTAAAGCTGCAGTATGTACAGCGATTAATTTTCCTGATAAATTAATAACATCCCATTCTTCATTAGCATTATATTCCTCAGCTTGCTCTTCTTCTAGTAATGAAATATCTTGTGTTGCTTTCGCAGCAGCCAACAAAGGTGGTAATACTGAAGGCAAATAAGGTAAGAAGTCCTTACCAATAATTCTACAGATTCTTCCCCAAGCTTGCTCTAAATATTGCTTTACTGGATCGTCATCTTGAACAGCTGTTTCCTGAATATGTCCGAATAAATTTATCAAATCTTGACAATGAGGAGCAAATTTCTCTTTGCCAACTGCTACTGCTATCAAGGTAGAGCATTCAATACATTTAGCCTTCAATAATCTGTTTTCTTCACCCATATCGGTTTTCAAAACATCAGTAAGTAATGGCATTAAAGTATCATAATACTTGATGAACATTTTCTCTGCCGAATCAGCAATAATTGCAATTGTAGTTAATACTTGTTCTTGGACATATCTTTTTGGAGATTGTAATAAACCCAATAAATTATTCAATAAGTCGTCCAAATATGGTTCCAAGACGTCTTTACTTGCAGCCTCAGAAAAATTGACTAATGCAGCAGCAGCATGGGCTTGTACACGTGGAACGGACTTGTTTGTTAATTTCGAAATCAACGCTGGTAAGATTCTGTTCCCGGAAGTTCTTTGAATGACATCTGCAAAATCAGTAGATATCTGGCCTAATGCATTACAACAAGCATATTGAACTCTTGGGTGTTCATCTTCTAAGGCTGGTAATATCATGTCCAAAATTTTTGGAATTTCATTCATCAAGACATCAGCACATCCTTCTGCAGCCGACGAAATCGCCATAAGTGCTGCTTGCCTTTCTCTCCAATTGCTTGATTGTATCATTGCTGGAATATATTGGAACAATGGAGCTGCCAAAGCTTGTCCATTCAATCTCAAAGCAACACGGTCCAACGCTTGTCTAGCAGCATCATGCTCTGGTTCCTCATCGTCATCTTCAGTGTTATCGCTATTATTCCATTCTGCAGCATCATCATCATCAATGCAAACTTCTGTCATCATGGATAAAGTAATGAGTACCATTTCCTCGGTATAAGAAGTAGTTCGTTTACACATAGATGGAGATACTTCGGCAAAAGTTGTAAGCAATTCTAAGGAGGCCATTCTAGTATTTGAATCCAAATCTTTGTGTTTAGATACCGTGGCACAGAATTCAATAATTGTTGGAAACATGTCTTTGAACATCTTGGGTGCCAATTCAACCAAATCAATCAACGATTCCAATACTAAAGCCAATGCATTATCTTGACCATTTTGCAAAAATCTTGGTAAAGAATTCAATAAATTAGGCAACAATGGTGATAAGCGTTGCCAGTTTTTCTTAGGAAGCTCCCTAAAAAATGCAACAAAAGCGGTACAGGCTGCAATACGGACTTCATCATTCTGATCTTCGAATCCACTGTTGAATATTGGTAATATATCGTCTATTAATGTCTGATCAATTAATTCTGGGGAAGTGGAGAATACTCTAAATGCTGACTCACGGAAACTAGGGTCTGGGTTTCTAGATGCTTCAAATAAGGTAGGGAGAAGTTCATTCCAAGAACCTGGAGGTGATGCATCTTCTTTTGCAACTTCAGAAATAGCATCAGAAAGTTTATGTCTGACTTGATTTGATTGCTGTGATGAAAACCCATTCAACAATATTGCTCGAATTTGAGCTCTAACTGGTTCACTGATGACTCCAATTGTCCGATCCGTAACACTAGCCAATTCTTTTGGAGATTTAATAGCAAGCCTTCTAAATAAAACAGCTGCAAATGCTCTAATAGTGTCATTTATACCCATACAGGCTTGTTCAGCTAAGAAAACCAACAACATCTCAACATTGGCTTTTATTGACCAGTCATTATCAAGTGACTTTTCAGCAGCAGCTCTAATCTCATTATTTGAGGATGACAAGCTCTCCAATAATTGTGTTAAAACACCTTGTACTTCTTCTGGTAATATTGACATTGCTTTCTTTTCAATTCAAAGCAAGTAAAGGACAGTTGTAAGGGATGTTACCAAGTATACAATAAAAGCAATTTTCTCTCTTTACAAAAAGAATATAGTTTCAAAAATCGTGTAATTCGTCAAATTCCAATTAAAGCTTTAAATGAATCCCTTTGAAGTATTACTCAGAAACAGATGGAACTGATGAAATGTAAATTCTTTAAAGAAGAAGGAGAAGAAGAAGACCTCAATTGAGCAAGAAGGGGGATCGCTTAATTTTTCATAGAGACTGAAAAAAAAAACAAAAAAAAATTTCAGAAGAGATATCACGTGACATGAAACTGTCCAGTCTCTCTCTGGTCACTACAATATTAAAGTATAGATGCTTATCAGTGAATGCAAGCTAGTATAGAGACCGAACGATGTAGAGAAATAATTAAAGTTTCATGTTAGGGAATATGCTATGAAAAATCCGAAAAAAAATTCAAATTATGCATTAAGAAATTCCTATTTCTATTTATCGTTTTAAAATCGTAATGACATCTTCATCTTCCAACAGATGAGATAAACCAACAATTTGGGGTTGATGCTTCACTGAAGTCCCATATACTAATGCATTTCTAAAGTCTTCAACCAAAGACTTGTGGATAGAATTACAGAAATCTTCAACAGTACATCTGTCACTTCTCAAAACGACAGGTTCATTAAAATCTGGCAACTTCCCCTTTGGTTTTGTGTAAACTCTTACCAAATTAAGTTTATCCCACATCATTTCCAACAAAGCATCCAAGTTCCATCCATTACCAGAAGAAATTGGAATAGCATCCGGAATCTTTGTTAAAAGATTCAATTCTTCGATGGAGAATGAATCAATCTTGTTTAATACATAAACGGCAGGAATATATCTTCTTGCTTTTGCTTCTATAGCATCGATCAAGTCATCAACGGTGGCATCACATCTGAAAGCTATATTTGCCGAATTGATTCTATATTCAGACATGACGGCTCTAATTTCGTCATTATCCAAATGTGTTAAAGGAGCGGTGGTTGTAATATTGATCCCCCCTCTTTCTTTCTTTGTGATGACAATATTGGGTGGTTGTTTGTTAATTCTTATCCCCATACCTTCTAGTTCTTGTTCGATGATTCTTTTATGTTGTAATGGCTTATTGACATCTAAAACCAAAAACAATAAATTCACAGATCTGGCGACCGCGATAACTTGCTTACCTCTACCCTTACCATCTTTAGCACCTTCAATGATACCAGGTAAATCCAACATTTGAATCTTGGCCCCTTTATACTTAATAGTACCAGGAACTGTGGTTAAGGTTGTGAATTCATATGCAGCTGCTTCTGAATGAGTACCAGTTAACTTAGATAACAATGTAGATTTACCAACCGACGGAAAACCCACAAACCCAATAGTTGCCACCCCTGTTCTTGCCACATCGAACCCAATACCACCACCTCCACCTCCTGAAGAACTATCAGTCAATAATTCTCGTCTTAATTTGGCTAATTTTGCCTTAAGTTGACCCAAATGAAAAGACGTAGCTTTATTTTTTTGGGTCTTTGCCATTTCATCTTCGATGGCTTTGATTTTCTCTACAGTAGTCATCTCTCTTGGTGTTTTGCTTTTCAACTAAAGAGTAAGAGGTAATCAGATCGATGGTTGTAATAATTTTTTTTTTCAATTTCTTTTGAAAAGAAATGAGATCAAATAAAAAAAGGTCGTGTGAAGACACAATCGATGCAAGAAGAATAAAACGTACGAAGAGAAGAAAAAATTTCATTAAATTGAGTGACTCTCTCATTGAAATAGACCTTTCTTAATCAACCATATAGAAACAATTAAAATGGCTAAAAAGGGAAAGAAGGGAGCCAAATCAGGTGGAGATTTTTGGGATGACGAAGATCTCGAACAAGAACAACCACAAGCTGAAGAATTCGGAACCCCTAGTGAATCAGTTGAGCCAGAAGATGTAGGAGCAGTTGCAGAAGAAACAGAAGAAGCAGAAAATGGATCTGGTCCAGTTGAAGCTTCTGCAGATGACATTGCTGGAGACTTTTTAGGTTCAATTCGTAAAAACAAACAAAAGAAGGAAAAGAAAGAAGAAGAGGATAAGAAAGCTAAAGATGGTCCTAAGATTTTATCAAAGAAAGAAAAGGAAAAATTAAAGAAGGAAGCTGAAAAGCAAAAGAAGAAAGAACAAGCCCAGAAGAAAAAGGCTCAACAAGCAACTAAAAAGGAACAAATCAAAGAAGCCAATAGACAAAATGCTGCTGCTGCATCTGTATCTGCTTCTGCTACTCCAGAACCTGAAGATGGAGCTGAAGAATCTTCTCCAAAGCCTGCTGCCAAGAAAGGTAAGAAGGTCCCTGCTGGTCTTGCTGCGTTAAAACGTCAATTGGAATTAAAGAAGCAATTGGAAGAAGAGCAACGTCGTTTGGAAGAAGAAGAAGAACAACGTAGGTTGGAGGAAGAAAGACGTGCAGCAGAAGAGGAAGCCGAGAAGGAAGCTGCCAGAGCTGCAAAGAAGGAAAAAGAAAGATTAAAAAAGGAACAATTGAAAGCTGAAGGTAAGCTTTTGACTAAGAAACAAAAGGAAGAAAAGAAATTACAAGAACGTCGTCGTCAACAATTGTTACAAGCTGGAAATATTACCATTGCTGGTTTGGAAAAATCTTCAGACGAAACTCCAAAACCAAAGAAGATTGTTTATACCAAGAAGAAGTCCACCAAACCTAAAACTTTCATCCAAAAAGCACCAGTTAAGGTCGCAGAAAAGAAGGAAGAAGAGGACGAAGAGGAAGCCTTGATTGATGACTGGGAAAAGATGGCATTGGACGATGATGAACCTGTCACCGAAGATTGGGAAGCCGGGTTAGAGGAAGAAGCCGAAGGGCCTGCTGAAGAAGAAGACGCAGAAGCTATAAAAGCACAAGAAGAAGCTAAGCGTAAGGCCGAAGAAGCTGCTCAAAAAGCTAAGGAAGCTGAAGAAGCTGCACGTAAAGCCAAAGAAGCAGCAGAACAAAAAGCCAAGGAAGAAGCTAAGAAGAAGGCAGCATTGGTTAACCAAAAGACTGAAGCTACTCCATCTGAAAAGGACTTACGTTCTCCAATTTGTTGTATTTTGGGTCACGTCGATACTGGTAAGACTAAATTATTAGATAAAATTCGTCAAACTAACGTGCAAGGAGGAGAAGCTGGTGGTATTACCCAACAAATTGGTGCAACATATTTCCCAGTTGATGCTATCAAACAGAAGACTGCAGTTATGGCTCAATACGAAAAGCAAACATTTGAAGTTCCTGGTTTATTAATTATTGATACTCCAGGTCACGAGTCTTTCACAAACTTAAGATCTCGTGGTTCTTCCTTATGTAACATTGCTATTTTAGTTATTGACATCATGCATGGTTTAGAACAACAAACCCTTGAATCTATAAGATTATTAAGAGATAGAAAAGCTCCATTTATTGTTGCATTAAACAAAATTGATAGATTATATGATTGGAAAGAAATCCCTAATAATTCTTTTAGAGATTCTTTTGCTAAACAAGATAAATCCGTTCAAGCTGAATTCCACAATAGATATGAACAAATCAAATTAGCCTTAGCAGAACAAGGTTTGAATTCTGAATTATATTTCCAAAACAAGAATATGTCCAAGTATGTTTCTATCGTTCCTACTTCTGCTGTTACTGGTGAAGGTGTTCCAGATTTATTATGGTTATTACTTGAATTGACTCAAAAGAGAATGTCTAAACAATTGATGTATTTATCCAAGGTTGAAGCAACTATTTTGGAAGTTAAAGTCGTTGAAGGTTTTGGTTACACAATTGATGTTGTCTTGTCTAATGGTATTTTAAGAGAAGGTGATCGTGTTGTTTTGTGTGGTTTGAATGGTCCTATTGCAACCAATATCAGGGCATTATTAACCCCACCTCCATCTCGTGAATTGCGTATTAAATCCGAATATATCCATCATAAAGAAGTTAAGGCTGCTTTGGGTGTAAAGATTGCTGCTAATGATTTAGAAAAGGCTGTTGCCGGTTCTCGTTTGATTGTCGTTGGTGAAGATGACGACGAAGAAGAAATTATGGATGAAGTTATGGATGATTTGACTGGTTTATTGGATTCAGTTGATAGCTCAGGGAAGGGTGTTGTTGTCCAAGCATCTACATTAGGTTCTTTGGAAGCATTGTTGGATTTCTTAAAGGATATGAAGATTCCAGTTATGTCTATTGGATTAGGTCCTGTGTATAAGAGAGATGTGATGAAGGCGACTACTATGTTGGAAAGAGCACCAGAATTAGCTGTGATGTTGTGTTTTGATGTTAAGATTGATAAAGAAGCGGAGCAATATGCTGAAGAACAAAATATTAAGATCTTCAATGCTGATATCATTTATCATTTGTTTGATGCTTTCACTGCATATCAAACGAAATTGCTTGAAGCCCGTCGTAAAGAATTTATGGAATATGCCGTTTTACCATGTGTTTTGAAGACAATTCAAATTATTAACAAGAGAAATCCAATGATTATTGGTGTGGATGTTGTTGAAGGTTGTGTTCGTGTCGGAACTCCAATTTGTGCTGTCCGTACCGACCCAGTTACCAAACATCCTAATATTATGGTTTTGGGTAAGGTTGTTTCATTAGAAGTTAATCATAAATCACTTGATCATGTTAAGAAGGGTCAAACTTCAGCAGGTGTGGCTATGAGATTAGAAAACCCATCATCTGCTCAACCAACATGGGGTCGTCATGTCGATGAAACTGATAACTTATACTCTTTGATCTCACGTAGATCTATTGATACTTTGAAGGATCCTGCATTCCGTGAAACAGTTTCAAGAGATGATTGGTTATTAATTAAGAAATTGAAACCAGTATTTGACATCAAGTAATTTTTAACTCTTTCTGTGTACATATATACGTATATTATTTAGTTTCTCTTTGTGTAGCATGGTGTATGCTTGTTTTATATATATATAATAGTTTATTTTTATAGTTTAAATCAGAAAGGTAGTTTATTAATGGGCACTCTTACTGGATTCATAATGAGGATGATATCGCGATGGTCGTGTACTAAAACCGAAACGTAATTGGTAGCGCAAGCAAATGTTAGCCTACCAATTAGGATAAGCTGAAAAATAAGATGAAAAAAAACTCAGACAAAAAGGGTTGGTGAAAGACAAACTACCCCATTTTAATAACCAAAGCAAATATATACCATGCAAGACTTACCACCTATTGCAGGATACGAACCTATCCAATGGAAGAGAAACCTTCCAGCTAGAGGTTTTAGAGGATCAGTTTTCTTTTGGGGGATTGTGGGAGTAATGGCATTTGGATTCTATAGACATCATCTTGGAACAGCTGAACAACGTGAATTAACTAGAGAAAAGAGGTGGGCTCGTTTCCATTTAGAACCATTATTGTTGGCTGAAGAAGATAGAAATATTGCTAGAAGATATTATGCTGAAATGACTAGACAAGAATTGATTAGAGAATCAATGAGTCCTGAAACTAGAGCTAAATTTGATCAAGAAATTTATCATGATAAATCCAAGTTCCGTTTCCCAAGATATACTGCCGGTGTTGATCCAGATGATTTTTAAGGTCTTGGGAATGGATAGAATGAGTGGTTGTTGAATAATATAGTCGATTTGGGTTGATTTTTAAGAAAGTAGATAATTATCATAAAGGAAGAGAAAAGAGAGAGTCGTTGGTTAACATTCTCTAGAATGAATATTAGCATGTTCAATGCTGGTTCTACTATAGATTGGTTTTTCCACTTGTTTGAATAATAATGATATTTATCCCAGGGTAATTTTTTCATGAGATTCTTCTCTTTTTAATGTGTTTTTGTATCTTTCATTAAGTAAATTGGACTGCTTTTTAAACATTTTGTAGCATATAATAATAAAAATAGTATATTTATTTGAAGGTTCTATGTCTTTTATTCTTGGTTGATAATCGACCTCCCGACGTGTGATTTAATTCAATTGAAATTGTCTCCTGTAAATGTGTCGCGACACTAAAAACGACACTGTCAAAAAAAAGAAACTTCAACGTTTTTTTATTTTTCAATCAAATCCGATAACACTTTCTCTCTGATTTTCCAGTAGAGATTAAAAACTAAAACACACACCTCTTAGTAGTAAACAAAGAGTAGCAATATGTCAGTGAAGATAAAGACAAAGGAACAAGTGACTGAATTAATTAATCAATATGATTATTTCTTATTTGATTGTGATGGAGTATTATGGTTAGGAGATCATTTACTTCCTCATGTTCCAGAAACATTAGATTTATTAAAACAAGCAGGAAAAACCGTGATATTTGTTACTAATAATTCTACTAAATCTCGTGATGATTATTTACATAAATTTGAAAAATTAGGAATTAAAGGAATTACAAAAGATGAAGTATTTGGTTCATCATATGCTTCAGCAGTTTATATTGATAAGATATTAAAATTACCTAAAAATAAGAAGATTTGGGTATTAGGAGAAGAAGGGATTGAAAAGGAATTGAATGAATTAGGTTATGTTACAATTGGAGCTAATGATCCTTTATTAATTGAAGATGGTGTTAAATTTAATCCTGATCATCCATATCTTGTTGAATTAGATGATGAAGTTGGTTGTGTATTATGTGGTTTAACATTAAATTTAAATTATTTAAAATTATCAATTACTATGCAATATTTATTAAAAGATAATAAATCAATACCATTTATTGCCACTAATATTGATTCAACATTTCCATCAAAGGGGAAATTATTAATTGGAGCTGGTTCAATCATTGATACTGTTTCATATGCTAGTGGACGTAAACCTGATGCTATATGTGGTAAACCTAATCAATCAATGATGAATTCAATTAAGGCTGATAATCCTGGATTATTAAACAATCCAAAGAGAGGTCTTATGATTGGTGATCGTTTAAATACTGATATGAAGTTTGGTAGAGATGGTGGATTAGATACTTTATTAGTATTAACGGGTATTGAGACAGAAGATATGGTGTTATCTTTAGATAAAGATGTATCTCCAACTTATTATATGAATAAATTGGGTGATTTATATGAATTATAATTACCCTGCAATGATAATAATATTATACAAATAAAAAAGAATTGATAGACGTTTATAAATAGAAAGGTTTTAATAGATATTTTGATTTTGCGTAGATATACAATTAATATACATATATATACGGTTTATGCATACATATACATAGACATAATAATAGATTGTAAATTGATAAATGTTGTTGTTAAATATCATTTCCATCAATTACGTCATTGTAATAATTATACACGACGAGACAGACAGACAGGGAAAAAAAAAAGATGAAGAATTTCTCACCAAATTTATCAAATTACCTTTCAAGCCCATTAAGCGATAAATTTACACTTTTCTAATTAATAAAAACTAAAAGGAGAGAAAAGCCTGTAATTAAATTACAACAATTAAACAAAAAAAACTAATTAACAACTAATCATCAGTTTAACTGTTTAACTAATCCAAAGCTTCAATTTTTTTTTGTAATTTAATCTCAAATACATCCTTTGATTAATTATAAGTTCATTAAATAAATAAATAATATAAAGTTCAGCCCTGCGCTAAATTTAATTATAACATTCCATCAATCCAAAAGCTTTTACAACATAATTAGTGTTAAAGGTAGATTTCATTATAAACAATTTCCATCTATTTTTAATTGATTGAATTTTCAGTTGTAAAATTACGTGGGGAGAAGAATCATAAATCATTAAACGGTTATTTATTATTAATATTGAAAAGATTAAAACAAAAAAGGGATCCACACGCCCCCTCCCTTAGTCGTATCATTCACTCGCTAATATTTTTGCTTTCATAGGTGATTAATAAACCAAGACAGCATATTACTCCTTTCATTACAACTAGAAAGGATATTCAATTTTAAGGATCATTCATCAAAAGATGTCAGAAGAGAAAAGACAAAAATTACAAGAAACAGGACTTGTAGAATGGTCAGTATTCAGTGAAATAGTAGCCATGGATGAAGATGAAGAAGGCTTTTCTCAATCATTAGTCCAAACTTTTGTAGATCAAGTTGAAGAAACATTTGAACAAATTAATACTTATATATCTGAAAAAAATCTTGAAAAATTATCATCAGCTGGTCATTTCTTAAAAGGTTCTGCTGCTGCTTTAGGTTTAACGACAATTTCTAATCAATGTGAAAGAATTCAAAATTATGGTCATAAAGTTAATTTCGATAATTTTACTTTAACAAAATCAACAATAGATCCATCATCATCATCATCACTATCAAATATAGGAGACACCACCAGATCAAATAATCATAGTAATATTAATAGTTCAGGTAGTACCCCATCACCAGAGAATAACTATACACCAGTAGAATCAGGAACACAAGCGAGCCATAGTCTAACAGATATACCCGATGAATCAAGTGATGATTTTTGGATTGCATTAATTAAAGATGCTTTGAATAAAGCAAGAGATGGATTTGAAAAATCAAGAGCTGCATTAAATGAATATTATGCATAAAGTCTTTGTCTCTCCAAGTTGTCTGTCTTTTATATTATACATAAATAAAATTTGCTTAATACTACTAATTACTTATTCTATAAAATCCCTCTCCACAGTTTTATGATTGTCTTTTTAATACACAGAATTCCATATATTCAACTTTATATGGAATTAATTTACGTAAAACCTTTGGAATATAAATTAATTTCCCAATTAGATTATGATTACCTTCAGGATTTAATATCTTATTACAGGTTAATAATTTCCATTGTTCATCAACTAATGATAAATCTGGATTTATTAACTTTGGTTGACTTCTAACTTGTGAATTATCAACAAAATAATCACATTGTTCTAATGATATTATTTTATCAACTTCAAATTGATTCTTATTATTCATATGAGGTGGGATAAATGTAGTTGAATCAATTAATGAACTGGACAGTTCATGGAAATCTCCCGGTAAAAGTCCATCAAATCCACAATCGACATATCTAAGTCTATAGTTATCAGGAAGGAAAAATGAAGTTGGGAAATGATACCATTCTTTACCCATACATACATTTTGCGGTTCTATGTAACTTGAGACCTGGGATGATTCGGAAAATATTTGAAATGTTGTCAACGGGGCACTATAATTTTCAACAAGATTAAAGATTCTTAAACTTGATAAAGCTATAATTGAAATAATAAACCCAATTTGAATCAATTTGATATTGATTCTTTTCTTGATGAAATTATTAATTTTTGATAAAAATATTGCAGCCAGTAATGATATCAAGGGATATATTGGATAAAGAAATCTTTCTTCTTTATGAGGTTGCAAAAAGAATATCAGACACCATATGACTAATTGCAGGGATATAAACAATGATAATGATTTCAATTGAGTAATAAATGGATTGAAGAAAATACCCAAGCATGACAATGGAACCAAAACATGAAAATTAAGTATCAAATTAAAAATATAGTATGAAACTGGTTCAACCCCGAATATTTCTGGACCTTCACCTTCTCCACCAAACACATTATATAATACAATATTGGCAGGAATAAATATTGGGAATTTTTGATAGAAGATTGAATCAATAACAATTATAGGGATAATAACAATCAACAACACACCAAAACATTTAATTAATATTCCAAATGGGATCTTCTTAGTTAATACCATAGACAAAGTATACACTCCAATTGGCAAACCCAACGCAAATGAAAATGGCCAACCCAACAATCCACCTACCAAATACCAGAAAATTGCACCAATTAATGGACTTTGTCTACTAGACCCAGACTTCTTTACCATTTCTACTATACAACTCATTGCAAGAATTGTAGTTTGCATAGCCAATGTCGAAGGCAACAACGCGACACCAGCATGACTCATACCTGGAGCAATTGAACTAAATAATAACCACCAATTGGCTATACTATTTGAATGATATAACAACTTCTTAAATAATATTAATTCACATAAGCTTGTCATTCCAGACAAGGCAATAATTCTAATCCCATAAAATATTGACATTGGTTCAATGTTGAAATATTGGAAAAACTTCCCTATTATATAATATGGGATTAAATAACTATATGATCGTATTTTAAATTCAGGTGAATATTCCCAAGTTTGTTTTCCAAAATTTCTTAATAAAAGATTCAAGGGTTCCCAATAATTATAAGTCTCATCACAATCAGCAATGATCATATATATAGCTGAATATAGACGATAAGCTATATTAAGACCAATCAATGCATATTGGATCGGTGTTAGTCTCATTTGGTATGGATTACGTTTGAAAGGGTATTTGACAGATAGAATAATTTAAATGTCTAAAATTGGTGAATTCTTTTTTTATCGACACGCTAAAGTCACATGGTAGCCTCAATTGGACGAAAAGCTAAACGGTATTCAGGACAGATATTCCGAGCGAACAATCAAGAATAGGTGTTGAAAATATGCCCCCCCCTTTAAGGGAACAGGAAGAAAGACAACAGTTGAATGATGAATTTGTGTTTAGTGTCATCCCTTTCATTACTCTTCAAATTAGTTAGTATCTTTTATTGTGCTATACCCAAATCAGATGGCTGCGAAAACTAGAACACCCTTACTTGGATAATACATTTTTTATGAGTTGTAGTCAACACAATTAGTAAGAAGATACATTTCTTCATAAATTGATTGTAGTCCTGATATATATCTAATACAGGAATAGGTCTATGAATCATGAGCTTAATGGTTTCCACTATAGATTTGCTCTTAACCACATATATTTTCTTCACATTTTCCTGTATATTTTAAACAAATTCTTATATAAATTATTGTATAAGGTTCCTATTAAAAAACTCCATCTGGGACGAACCTAGATTAAGAGAGTAATTGAAGGAAAATGTCAATGATCGGCAGGTTAGAGTCTATAATGTGCATGAACTAGTATTTTTTCGTTACTGGTTCTACAAGCAAGCCTTCAGTAAGGTGGAAGTAGTTCCCCAGACAGTATGTATTTTTAGAACCAAAGAGAGGATCTGTACACGAGAAGGCATTGCCATTCCGAAAAACGGGTTACTAGCGCATAAATGACACATCGAGTGCAATAGAACGGAATTTGAATAAAAGTTTCTTTGTTCGCTACTCCACAATTACTTCCTAATTGAGAAACTGAGAAATGCGCTAAATTTTTCAATTTTTTTAAACGACGATTGCAACTAAATTTTTAAATAACGAATGCTCGCAATAATAATCACGAAATGCGATGAACAGTCAGAATGGGGAAATGAGAATTAATATCCTAGAGAATATCAGATTAGTTTGTACTATTATAACACTACAAGTTGGGTGGGAGCAAAGACTTGTGCAATCCCCAATTTCAAACGAACTATATTTCCGGATTTTCTTCAAGCAAGATCTAATCATTTCTTAGTCACTGAAACAATGAACTGTTATGCAACCTGCAAATATCTAAACGGGTATAAGAAAAAAAGGTTGACGGCTTAACGACCTGTTTCTTCAAGATTTGATATGTAAAACAAACGAAATGAAATAGTCATGCCTTATGTAAAGGGTGTAATGTTCCAAAAGGCGGGCTTCATACAAAAATGATGGGAATTGAATCATATTCAAAATTTGACAGAAAAATGTGAAAAAATCGAATGAATAAGATTGTAAAATTCTTGGCATAAAACTTCTAGGGTCAGTTATTAATAGCAACGGAGAACCGGAACTCCTGGGATGACGAATGAATCGCAAACCCCAATAACCACTTCTAGAACTACAGCAACATCCCCTTCTATATATATGATTGCTGCCCTGTGCGAACCAATGCGGTACTCTGCTTCTGCTATTGATGTTTTGTAGTGAAAAATTAGGGTAGTTCGGGTTAATGGCGGATGGGGGGGGGATTTTAAACTGAAAAAGAAATCAAAATGCGTTCTTTTTTTTGCGGTTACACACCAAATTTTTTATACCGACGACTTTTATTGATTGTTTTCGAGACCCATATTTTTATCTCTTCTCAAACCCCCCTCACCAAAAGACTTAAACCACATTTCGAGATAACAGATTACCTTATCAGTTGGCTGTTGCATTGGTGATTGTGGGGGGGGGGGGAATTTGATAAGCAATTCTTGATTACTCAAGAAAGATAAGCGTGGATCTTAAGACAAATATACTATGGTGGATCTTAGAGACAAGAAAGAATGGCCGGATGGTTGAAAAATTTTCTGGGATGAGGAGGAGGGGGGGAGCAAGCGATCTGTGCAACAGGGGATGGGTAAATGCTAGCGGGAAACTTTTATTTACCTTTATGTATGTAACAAGGCGGGACTAGAACATGAAACAAATAAATAACCCATAAAAGTCTAATTGTTGCAAGATTAATCGCCTTACCAGTCAACATGGGTTTATTGTTCCATCTTTCTACCAAGTTTTTCTTGGTATGGCACAGCGAGATGTAGATTTACTATTGAAGTATGGATGTAACACTGGGATGAACGGGTCATTCGAAAAAAATATTTATGGCGCCCGAACAGTAAGGTTGTAAGGAAGTCGTGTAGTTTCAATTAAAATGCCACTTAAGAATAAATGCAGGTTACTCCACAGTTTTACATTTTTAGTAAAACTTTAAAATGATCATTCTTTTGCCCCAAATGAATCATATATAAACAATCAACTGGTTGCTATTTTTCATTTTCATTTTCTTCTTATTCTTCTTCTCTCTTTCTTTGAAAACTTATAATACAACTTCTCTTAAGGATTGATAACTTTTTAAGTTTATAATAGAATATTGTCTTTACCATCATCAATTGCAACCAAAAGACAAAACTTTCGCACCTTGCTGCAAAAAAAAAAGACAATAAACATAGCCCACCCCACCTCACCACCACCACCACCTACAAAAGATGCCACAACCACCGCAGTCATTAATAGAGTTACCTAATGATATCTTGGATATCATAATATCACAATCATCATCAGACTTGTCTTCATTATCATCTGTTTGTAAGTCATTGAAGCATTTAATCAATCCTATTTTATATAAACATATTCTTATTTATGATGATGATCATTCATTTATGAAGATTAATAATGATTCCAATATTCAGTCATTTATTCATATTTCAAAATTGAGTCAATTTATCAATTCATTGACTATTTCTAATTTCAAATTAATTCAATCCATTCATATTCATTGTCATTCAAATTTCGCTCAATTTGATTATTATCAATTATACCATATATTAAATTCCTTTTGGAATTTAACTAATCATTCAATAGAATTTATAAACTTTGATGTTGATAATATTAGAAAGTTTCAATCTATTAATCAATATCTTCATAATAAGAATTGTACTGATATTATTGAAGAAAATGACGAAGAATTAGCATGGACCAATGTTCCTACTAATAATAAGTTGGTTAATCTTAAGAATTGGTCTATTTTGAATATTCAAGAATTACATAATTTGCCTTATAATCCAAATTTAAATAATTTGGATTTATTTATTGAAAGAAATTCACATGGTAGCGGTTGTTGCATCCCAGCTTCATCCAATTTATCATTAAATTTCCAATTAATAAGATCATTGCATTTAAATACTACAATTTCAACTTCAATTTTCAATCAATTATCAGTTAAATGTACCAGTTTGGAGAATTTATCAGTATCTTATAGCCATTCCTTTAATCAACCACCATTATCTATGGAATCTTTGGCTAATAAGATTGATTTTAATAACTTGAAACAATTGGAATTGAAATTGAATTGTTTACGTCATGATTGTAATTGTATTAATCAATTTTATCATGATTTATCACTTGTAGTTGATCCATATAAATCAAAATTATCAAAATTATCAATTATTAATTATAAAGCAAAGAATTCTACTAATAATTTACAACAATATAATTATTTAATATGTCATCAATTGAATGATTTATTTGAAAAATTCACCAAGATTGAATACTTGTATTTTAATATTAATGAATTTTTGAAAATTGATCAATTAAAGATTGATTGGAATAAGTTTTTAAAATCAATTGAGAAATTAAATTATTTAAACGATTTAATTATGGTTGACTTCTTTAATTGGTGGTTGCCTTCAATGTCCCAATCGATATCTCAAAATAATGATAATAATCAATCAAGTTTACAACTTTTATTAAATTCATGTCATTGCTCAAATTGTAATAAGATTAGATTTAAATTTATTTCAATGAGTGAATATGATGCCGAAAACAATTATACTCATAATTTTAATAAGTTTAATTATGAAGAGGATAAGGATATAGATAATCAATCAATTAATAAGATTATCATGAATAAATCAAATTCAAAATTCTTAAATTTTATTTATAATCAATTCAAATCACAATTTAATGAACCATTAATATATGGATTAATGATCGATTATTTCAAAGAGAATAGAGGTTTATTTCAACAAGATTTTCAACAATTATTTAAACATAATTGTTTGAATGGTTTATCAAATCAAAGTCATCAAAATAATAATCAATTGAGAATTAATTTTGGTGGTATAATAGTTTGATTCTTTTTTGGGTTTGGGAGTTTTTTAGTTAGCTTGTCTGCTTGTTTGCTTGTCTTTATTTATAGATTTTCTGATTTGTGTAATTCTTAATAGTGCTAATGACTTACGACTTATAAATTATACTGGATATTACTATATAAATTACTCTTTGTATGATGCAAATTTTGGCAAGAAAATTTTGCAGCCATATTGCGTAGAAGCATCATCATCTTTTAGTGCTGCAAAAATATTATGCCATCCTTTTCAAGCAATATTTGACTCTAAATAAGTATCTATCACTACCGCCAAATATTCCCAGCCCATTCATCAGTGCGCTAATACCTGAATGGCTTCCTTGCTCAAGATTATGAATAGCTAGTATTTTTTGGTGGTGAACAAATTAAATTGCTCACTGTTGAAAACATTTACCCGTTGCATATACATAAGCAAAACAAAATCAAAATACAGCCAAATCATGTTTTCAGATCAGATTAAACACTCGTGTGGATGGCATAAAATGATCCAATAGCCTAGCTTTTGAGTTTTACAGAAATTGGTAAATCCGAAACACTATATATCAGCTCATGGGTCGAACAATAGACCTTGAAATTACCAAAAAAAAAGACAATTTTGCGGTGCAAGATCTAACTAACTGTACCAAATGGTCGCGAGGTGCATCAAAAAGTCTTACTGAATTGGGCGGTCGCAGCATTTCACGTGCAAATCATGTGACATAATACACGTGACATAAGTTACACAAAACCAGATGCACGTGAAACTCACGTGAAAGTCATGTGGATTTCGTCATGTGATCACAATCTAAGTTGACGTCAATTCGACCCTCCCATTAGGTGTAGTTAACGGCAACTATATCCATTGGTCTATTTCATCATGTATCTAATAATATATATCAATTCTGTGAAAAATACTGAGGATTTGTTACATTTGTGAAAATTTCCTTATATGTGGTTCTATACCGGTGTCAGCTAAACATGAACCCTTTAATATTGCAACACAAGCTACAGGCAAAGTTATAAGCAATTCAGGGGATCTCAACGGCAGTGGATTTCAATTTTATTGGGGATTGAAATCTGGGCTTGAGCGTTGCTTTTGTGATTGTGATGCTTACAAACACAAGTTTACAAAAAGGAATCCCTACGGCGTCTAATTTTGGACCCTCCTCCAATCTGCTTCAAATCATATGGAAAGTAATCTCCCTTCTAGTCTTATCACATTCTGACGTTGATCTATCAATTTGATTAACATGTGGTTGAAATACTGCCAGTTGAAATATCTGTTTGTGGTTGAAAAGTTTACAAAAAGATGTTTACAAACAGGCATTTCTGTGGGCGGCTAATTTTCGACCCTCCTCCAAATTGCTTCATATTATATGGAAAGTAATCTCCCTGCTCCTGTAATCACATTCTGATGTTGATCTATCGATTTGATTAACATGTGGTGGAAATACTGCGAGTTGAAATATCTATTTGTGGTTGAAAAGTTTACAAAAAGATGTTTACAAA